TGCACACTCAGCAAAACACCTCTACATTCAGCACTTTCTGAAGACATTTCAGTTTTGATTTCGACAAAGCTGACTCACCAGAAGTCAAACCGGCGCCTTTCGCCCACCCGCAGCTTCGAAAGGTTGACGTCCGCCGACGGTTCGTCGACCCGGTGTGGAGAAGACAGACAGTTGGAGAAATGTTTTTCCGCTCACGCCTTCTCTCGCAGGTCTCCAGATATATCCACTCCTTCCCCGCTTGTTTTAGTCTATGGTCGGAGGCGCCAGACGTCAAATGATGTTTGGATCACGTGGCTTCATTCATGAAGGATCTACGCAACCCGCATTTAAAGAGACACGAGACACTACTACTGTGTGCTTTAACAACAGGCAGCGTGGAAAGCGTGACACGACAGCTGTGCACATCTCTATACTTAGAGCTAACATTTGAACCTCTGATCCAACAATAGGACAAAGAGCGGCGACACAACCATCTAACACTGAAGCAGCGATGCTCTGAGAGGCAATGGGAAATTTATCACCCGACAAGTGAAAGACAGTGCCCTCCACATTTATGACTCATTTATTTTTAATAATGTTGTGTATTTTAGAAATTTTCCCCCTTTGTGTTGAACATGCAGCTGAAATAGGGACTAGGGTATGAAAACGGGTAAACAAAGAGATTAAAATAAAGAATTCAATGCGAAATATTTACCCACTTAAAAAGAAAGAAAGAAATACCTTAATGTTACAAGCTAGTGCAGGATTGTCAAACATCAGGTCCCACGGCCAGAGTGGGTCGGCAAAGAATTCAATTCGGTACACTGGATGGCTTTGAAAAAAGGGGAGGACATAATTTATGTACACGTTTTCACCCACTTTTCCTACCGATAAAGACCTCCTCGTGGCCTTTTATACTACCCCAAAGTAATTAAATTATAGATTTCTGTATTTTACACATTTACTTCGTATAATTTAAGCCCAAAGAGTCACAGATTTACTACAGCAGCATTTTTTCATCGTGTAAGAATTCAGACATACTGTTTAAATTCTGCTTCATTTTCTTATATTGAGATATCTAATTTATTAAATTTGTAGTTAAATTTCTGTATACTGAGAGAAAGGGGAGTTTCACTGGTCCGGTCCACATAAGATCAAAGTGTGTTGTATGTGGTTTTGATATCCCTGGGCAAGAGAGAAATACAAAATAGAAAATTACAAAATACAGCCACTTTTTAGAAGAGGTTCTCTATTTTTTCCCCAGTTTGAAAACGCACGAATGTGTAACGAAATGTACCAAATACACTCAAATTAGTTCACTATTCTGTAAGGTGCTAAAGAAGAAAGGAGGTAATTAACATGCTTATATAGCCTGCACATTCACCAGCCATTTAATAAGTTACACCCTGCTTGTACCAGCTTGTAACACCTTCGCCTTAATTCCTCATGTCACAAATTCAGCAAGATGCTGGAAACATTGCTCTGGGAATTTGGTCCACGATAGCATGGTAGCATCACACAGCTGCTGCAGATTTGTTAGCTGCATTCACATCCATAATGTGAATCTCCCATTCCACCACATCCCAGAGGCACTTTATTGGATTGAGATCTGGTGACCGCAGAGGTCATTTGAGTACAGTGAACTCACTGCCTTTCTAAACCACCTGTCTGCCCCATTCTGATGCTTAGTTTGAACTTTGGGAGTTTGTTTTGACCACGTCTGCATGCCTAAATGACCAAATGACCTGACCAAATAACCAGTGAGTGTGTATCAGAGAACCACGCTATATAAAATTCTCAAATTTATGCCTTGTATTAGCAAATTAATATTGCATATGACGATAGTATTTGACAAAATGATGGTGATGATGCCTCTTAATGAGTCTCTTTGTCCCTAACTTGATGGTCTTACAAGCAATGCTTGCTCTAAGGCAGTAGTTCAAACAGGTTGTGATGAGTCCCTATCTAACTCTCATGGGGACATATCACAATCATTTACTTGTTCTTCTTTCTTTCTTCTTCTTCTTCTTAAAAGAAAAAAAAGGATGTGTCAATGTGACACAGCATTATTATTAATGACTTAGCTTGTCAATTACTAGAGAAACTGACTGCAGTGCTACACATATTGGGCTAGAAGAGCAAAGTATTTTTTAATGTGTTTAATATCCAGTTCTAACTGTAGTGATTTGCAGTTTTTTGTTGCTTTTTTTAATGGTTTGCTGCCACGTCACCTTTAAAAGGCCACGACATGCAAAGCCATGAAACTGGAAAAACAAAACGTTTGTAATATAAACATTATTTCTTATTGAGTGTAACTTATACTCAATGAGGATTTATTTTTTGACAATTCAAGATTTCATTGATGCTTACTTTAGTGCAATCTTGGACACGCTGGCTCACCTTTTCCATCAACCAAGTCATAATAAATTGCACTGTTTGAAATATTAGCCTCTCTCACATGAGATTTTGTCTCTTTTCTGCTCCGCAGAAGAGCACCTGTCTGACCAGTAGTCAGAGTCATGCAACACTTCCTTCCCTGTTTTGTAACACATAAAACAGCCATGAGCTACCAATCCTCGCTTACAGTACAAACAAAATTAAGGGCTGATGTACATTAGTATATCAATATCCATTAGCATTTCTGAGGAATTAACGGCTTCACATGCAAGACAAGGAAGCACTCTGCCAATATTAGCAGCCTATTTCCAGATAATGCCACTCAGTTTATAGGGGATAGCTGGTATTACATATTCATTGACCGATTATTTCCACTTGGCCGTGCACAGGCCTTTGAGGAGTAAATCTTTACCAGGCTGCTGAAAGTGAACATAATAATTGGGGGTGAGGGAGGGGGGTTGTTATGAAAATGACTAATATATACATGAGGTCAGTGTAGAATTTGATTTAAGAGCTACCCATGCCAAGACTGCTGACGAAAATGTGAGCCCTTGTATAGGATATCAAGGAAAAACACAGTGTTAATGCTCTTTATATGTCGAAGCAGCCCCACTCTTAGTAAAAATATTAAAATTATGCTAATCCAAATCCAGCATTATTATATGTATATTTTGTGTGAAATAAGCCAGTCTGCATAATGAAAATTCATTATTTTTTTAATTTAATTAAAAGCTTTACCTACTTGCTCCTCCACTGGTTTTGGGGCCACACAAAAACGGAACGCCTGAACCACAAAGCTAGTGGTGGAAAGTAACTGATTATACTAACTCGTGCATTTAACCATGACGAAGTAGTTGTAAGAAGCACCCTACCTCTAACTGCTAACCCTACGCTTTCACAATATGTAATTTTGAAATGTATTATTGAGAATGAGAGAATGAGTCTTGACAGTGGGAGCACAAAAAACCTCCAACAGTTCAAAAAACACCCATCTTAGGTTAATTGACCGTAGGTGTAAATATGAGTGCGCATGGTTGTCTGTCTCTCTGTGCCAGCCCTGCAGCAGACTGACGAACTGTCCAGGGTGTACCCTGCCTCCTGCCCCGTGATCACTGGGGTACGCTCCAGAACCTGAATTTTATAAGCAGAAGAAAATGGATTGGAGTGGGCTTTTTTTCAGCTTCTGAAGAGAGGAAAGATGAAAAAAAAAAACCTGCAAGCCACAGGGTGAGAGTAAAATTGGAAGTAATTTTGATTATTTTCATTTTTATTTGTTTTTACTCTTCTTGTTCTATATGAAAGCTATTAATGAGAACAACACACATGAAAAACAAATAAGTGTACTTCTATATAATACTGCTAAAACTGTAGAGAGGGTGCTAAAAAGCTGGTTTATTAATGCTTTTGGTACATCATGTACACACCTGTGCACCTGTCTGATTCCTTGATAAGTATCAGGTAAATAAAGGTCAGCGTTTCCAGGAATCCTTTCGCTCTGTACTTTGCAAGTTGGCAATAGAGGGAAGCCCATACTGCAGATTCACTGGCTGTGTGATAACCGTCAGTGTTTCCTCTTTCTGGGGCCGTTTCACCATACAGCTGCACAAAGCTGATACTGTATCAGCTCTCAGATCACACACAAACACACACACACTTGCACACACAGATTGCTGACACCACACTTGAGTGCACAGAAAGCAAAAACAGAGGAACTTGAACAATAAACACCTATTTACTCGCTTGTCTGTGTGAGTTTATCATTTTGGAGAGGATTAAATGAATGTTTGTTCCATCTATCCACTCCTCTTGGTTTCTGGCACTCCTCCTGGCCTTGACACAATATGCAAACAACCGTGTTACTGCAAAGGTCAGTGATTACACTGATTGAATGGGGATGACAGGTAGCATCTGGCCTACCTGTGGACAGAAATCCCATGCTGAGCGAGAGCGCACACACGCATACACACACACTATGCACAAACTTTCCACTCAGGATTAACTACCACTGAACTGCCATCTTAGACCCTCAGCCAGTGTCAAGATGATTGACACAGAGCACATCCTCTTCACCTTGGGTGGAAGAGAGCCGCCGAAAGCCGCCCGACCAACGAAAGGTAACAGAAGTCTAATAATGAGAAGCAAATGGAAGTCTCTTCAGGAATGGCTAATCTTAACGGACAGCGGCGGGAGCAAGCGGAGAATAACCTTACGGAATAAAAGAGGGATTACCAAGACACTTCAGCGGCAGAGAAAAACCATTGCACGCACAAATAAACAGCCAGAGTCCGCTGAGAGCATGAGGGACGCAATTTAATCAAGGGACACTGGTGTGTGTATTAGTTTAAGGAAAATAAACTAATCCTACAACAGCTATAAATTGTTCAATTATAATGAGGACATGGCTCTTCACAAACCATCACCCTTCTTCCATCATTTTGCTTCGCCATTATGCACCTGTGTATTGGCTGAATACACCCACAGGCCTATCTCATTCCAACACAAAGTGCCATTTGTTAATCCAAAATGTAGCAGCCTGGAGCGCAGTGATGGGCCCAAAAATCGGAAAAGTACTTTACAGACCTGAAGTCTGCAGTAGCTACTGTCTCTTAATTTCCCCAAATGCACCTGAACTTCTGCCCTTTTCTATCAGCTAATTCAAAACTCGATATTTAGGGACAGATTTACTAAGCAGGGCAAATTAGCACATGCAAGAACATTTTTCTAGGGGTTTCCAGCCCGAAACCATTACTTACATTTGGGTGGCAAAGAAAATAATGTCCTGTTCATTTTTTTTTTCTTTGTGGAAAATCTCTGTAAGCCAAAGAGTTAATTTATTTTGGTCACTCACTGTTATATTTATGCATGCTTGACTCATGTCACAGTGGACCACACAGACTGTGACA